CCGATGCGCGCCATTCGCCCAATAGCCGATCATCGTCGTCCCCTTTGTTGTCATTCTCCCCCGTTGGCCATGGGTCCCAACCTTCCAACCCAATACAATCTCCAGCTCGCCATATCCAACCATCCTTCATTCTTTGCCTACCTCTCCTTCGAGCCTCCATCTTCCAAACTCGTCTTTTTCTCGCACAAGGCTTGCACCAACACTTCCCTTCCTTAGCATTTACTTTGCGTTTCCTTCGAGCTTTCTTGGCCTTGTACTTCCTAGACTTGACTTTTGACTTCGGGCCACATCCCTTTGGCCAATCTCTTACACAAGAAGGTCGATATATTGGACTTGATGGCTCCTCTAGCATGTTGTCCAACCATATGTTGAGATCGTCGCCATCCTCATCCTCTGACTCGCCTGGGTTGATGACCACTTCCGTATCACGCGCACAGCGCGTGCGGGCTGCCGGGCCTGTGCGGGCCTGGGGCAATATTTCGAACACTTAGCCATATTTTGAGCATTTTTGACCGATTTTCGACCCAAATTTCGTCCACACTCCCCGGAACTTTATCGAAAAAAATTTTTTGGCCCTGCACTAAAAGGTCGGTACTGCCGAGCGGGTCGGCACGGGCTTTTTCTCATCAATTTTTACCCTTAACCAAATTTTCGATATTTGCCCAAATTTTTCAACGTCTTCAACCAATTCTCGACCTAAACCTCGTTTCCTTCATGTAATGTCTCGTGTATAGTGTGATTTGCGGGACTATTTATTCTCGATAAAATGCGAAAAACGAGAAAAAGCAATAACCGTGGGTTGCCTTCCACGAATCGCTCAATTTACGTCTTGAGCTCGACGTCCACATCCCTAATCAACCGGGGTCCAAGAAAAAATGTCGATCGTGCCACGCCTTTGTATTTTCCAAGAGTAGACGAACCGATAGCACCGAACAAAGGCGGGCCAAAACCTCTCGGTGACGTTCGGAAGGCATAACCGTTGATGGAATTGAAGCTTCGGTCCTCGGTGTACAAGGTTAGCCAACCGATAGGTGCTCAAATGATGGAGAAGATGGAACATGGGACTCGGTTTCTTCGTTTTCGGATATGGGAGCCATGGAAGCGCGAAGGGATCGATTGCACTCCTCTAATTGCTCCATGATCTCGGCTAGATTGACTCGAGAAGCCTCTCGAGTCGGCTCAGGTGGAGGTGTCTCTTCATAATAAACGGGGTATCCACGAGATGAGCTACCGGAATAAGAATAGTTGTACGGGTCCATCGGAGCTCCTCAAGCGAAATACCTCGCACAAGAACAACAAAGCAACCAAAGCACACGAGGCAAAAGTAAGAAATCACAAAATGCAACTAACACGACATGATATGTACACGAACACGCAAAGCAAAAAGCAAAAGAAATCGAAAAACAAAGCAATAATCAAGAGAAACACGCAAAACTAAGAAAAAGCAACAAAAAGCAAGAGAAACACGGAAACAAACGACAACTAGGTAGCAAACTGAGCATCCTACTCGCCTTCCCCAGCAGCGGCGCCATTTTGTTTGTAGTATTTTTGGGCAATTGATAACCGAGTTACCCGGACTCGAGTCGTTCTCAGAGGAAGGCTCTTCGGAGCTTCGTTCACTATCTAGTCGCCAAATCACACAACCGAAAAGATCCTAAACATGCTAATCGCTTGAATTGAGGGGTTCGATTTAAGCTAAACTAATCTACGAAATTAAGAGCATTGAAAGCAATTAAAGCACGCTAAGAGATGAGAGAATTTAAGGGGGAAAAACAGATTTTGGTTTGCCGGAGTCTCCATGATCAATCACACGCAAATAACCGAACATTGCCATGCTAGCTAAAACTCTAGGAAGCTAAACCCAACTCTAGCACAAGACGAGCAAGCATTCAACTCCTAATCACACTTAGTCAAGCATTCACGATCTAAAGATTCAATCTGTTCCTCCAAGCAACACAAGCACAATATCAATTTTCACAAAAAGCAAATAACGATATACGAAGTAATGGGGCTTAAGACTAAGTACCCACTCTCACACGCACTTGGGAAGAACCACAGAGTCAAAAGCTCGAAACTTTACTCGAAACAATGTCGCCGGTAATTCACCGGAAATATTGATTCATAAGCTTCAAACCAAAACATAAAAAGAAAAAAAGAGAAAATAGAGAGGAATTCCCAACTTAAAAGTTGGGAAATGAGGGTTGTGTCCAAAAATACAAAGCACAATGTCTTTTTATAGCTACACCACAAATACACACTAAAAACATGCACATTTAGTCGAACACTCTTGAGGTCGCCATGAAATTTGCGAGCTCGCGAGTCGGCAAGGCAGTGGGCGTATATGGGCGCACGCGCCGTGGGCGTGCATGGGCGCGGGAGGCTGGGGCTCTCGATATCGCGGATGAATCCGCGGGCGCGCAACTCTCGACCTCGCGGGGCTTTCCACGAGCGCGCGGGCGTGCGGGGCAGCGCGGGCGTGCGTGAGGCTTGGCGTGCGGGCATGCTGCGGGCGTGCTGCGGGACACTCTCGACATCACGGAAATTTCCACGAGCTCGCGGGCATGAGTGGAGAGCACTATCGACGTCGCGGATTTTTCCACGAGCTCACGGGCTTCAAAAGAGTGACACTCTCGACGTCGTGGGAGTTTCCACGAGCTCGCGGGTGCGCGAATGGGCACGTGAGCGCGGGAAGGTGCGTGGGAATGGTCTCGGTGACCTCTTGATGCTCGATTTGCTCTAACTTTTCGCACGCTTCTCCGTTTGACTTGAAACTTTGACCCACGCTCCTCAAATCCTTTTCTCCTCGTCTTGAAATGTGAAAATGGGTGTCACCAGGCAATTAATAAATATTCTCGGAATGGTGATTGGTCGGAAAAAGTGTGTAATTTATATATCTATTAGCGTATTTTAATATACTTAATTTTGTCGCACTTATATATCTTTCGACTTATTTATTTATTAGACGGATACAAGTGCTATGATATTTTTATGATTTAATTTTAGGATATTGGAGAATTTTCATGGGCGTGAGATCGAACGAAAATTGAGTGGGCCAACATGGAGGAGCTCCAAACCAGATCGAGTTCAGCCCAAATTTAGGCATAATTGTTAAAGAGTTGAATCAAATGCCCATCATGCACACGACTACTATAAGGCCCATTAATTGGTTACTGAATGTTAAAGATAATAGGTCATTACATGACCTTTGTCTTACTCACGTGGGCTTGGAAGATAGAAGACACTTTGTGGGTCAATTAGTGTAATGTCATGAAAATATTTGGAGCAGAAATTAGATTTGGAGACCACACAGGCCTGGGAGAATTAATTTACGTAGCCACCAAGTTAGAAAGACAAGAGGAGCCGTCAGATTTTGAGAGAATCCACGCGAACAGAGTACGCAGCAGAGAGGAAAGAGAACGCGGGCAGATACAAGAATTCGACGGAAGCGGAGGGAGACCGCACCCGCACACGAGAAGGATAATCTTATTCTTCTTCTTTTCTTTTCCATTTTATTTATTATGTTAGAGTAGATTTTATTCTAGTTCCGGTGAAGTTGAACTCTACGACTTGATGATGTTTGATTAATTTATGGTTGATTATTTAGTTATCTTTTTGGAATTGTTTGTGTTATTTTGAATAATTAACCATGATATGTTGAGTCTTATTTAGATTGATCACCTAGATTAGGCTTTACATATCTACACCTGAATTAGGCCTTCAATCCGTAATTGTTGATGTGTTTAATTCGCAAGTGGTATCCGGAAGATGGTAACTACCGGGGATAACACGGCCTATTTAAGTGAACGAACGCGTCACTACTTAGTCTAGCCTATTTTTTTAATGCGTAAAGCGGCTGATTGTATTAAATCTAAGAAGCGTTTTCTAGACTGTACA